GATAATTGGTTTTTTACCCTTCTATCTGGCAACAAAACTGACACCTTTTTTTTTACAAGGAGTCATGTTTGCATATACCACAATACCTGCAGTCGGAATGCAAACAAAAAACACAACTCTGATAATGTATGCACTGTCCTTGAAGTTGATTGGTCCACACCCGAGACAGCTTTCCTTAGAGCCTAGTCTCACATGGTCCTTGAAGTTGATTGGTCCACACCCGAGACAGCTTTCCTTAGAGCCTAGTCTCACATGGTCCTTGAAGTTGATTGGTCCACACCCGAGACAGCTTTCCTTAGAGCCTAGTCTCACATGGTCCTTGAAGTTGATTGGTCCACACCCGAGACAGCTTTCCTTAGAGCCTAGTCTCACATGGTCCTTTAAGTTGATTGGTCCACACCCGAGACAGCTTTCCTTAGAGCCTAGTCTCACATGGTCCTTGAAGTTGATTGGTCCACACCCGAGACAGCTTTCCTTAGAGCCTAGTCTCACATGGTCCTTGAAGTTGATTGGTCAACACCCGAGACAGCTTTTCTTAGAGCCTAGTCTCACATGGTCCTTGAAGTTGATTGGTCCACACCCGAGACAGCTTTCCTTAGAGCCTAGTCTCACATGGTCCTTGAAGTTGATTGGTCCACACCCGAGACAGCTTTCCTTAGAGCCTAGTCTCACATGGTGTTGGACCAGATGACGCCACAAGGCGCACCAGTTCAACGTGCACAACAATAAGTGCAACTCTCACAACACGAAAGAAGCTCAAGCGCTAAACGGGTTCACGGTGACGTTGTTGTCGCTGCCACTCATGGCGGCTTCGCTTTGTGACGCGTCACCGCGTCACGTGCTCAACGTCTCCACGCGCTCTGCGTCCTCCCCTCGACCGTTACGCCGCCCCCCTCCCCCCGGCCGTCTTTGTATCTCCCCGCCCTGAACGAGGTTGTGGTGGCGCGGTGGTTAACAGCACGCCGCACTATGGGGCCGTCCGTAAATGACGTCACGCACCTGGGGGGGGGGGGGTCATACATTTGTGACGATATGTGACGAGGAGGGGGGGGGTTGAGAAATGTGACGTCACATCAAAATGCGCAACTTTAAATAAATATAGACAACACGTTCTACTAAATTAAATTGACTTTTTAATAAAAGTTTTCTCCTACAACATCAGAGTGCAGCGCCACATTAAATACGCACTACAATGACAATAGTTTAAAGCTATTTGAAGCATGTTTTATTTGGGGGGGGGGGAGGCAGAGCTTTGTGACGTCATATTTGAGGGGGGGTTCTGACTTTTTGTGACCCCGTGTTGCTAGGGGGGGGGGGGCGGAGGTCAAAATTCGTCCAAAATCGCGTGACGTCATTTATGGACGGCCCCCATCATCAACCCGGGCAGCCCCGAGTTCGATTCCACGGCCGACGTCGGCGGCGAGTGAGACACAAACTTCCACCCCCCACGTCACCAACCCGCGTTGACCATCGCGGTGAATTATGGTCAAGCAACCCGCAGCAGCGACACGACGTTGTGAGGACTTGGGCGGTGGCTCTACCCAGGACGATCACCGCCACTCGCATCGCGATCCAACGCAGTGATTCCCGTCTGCGTGTCATCCCGTGGTGTTGTGTCACGGGGGCGATTGTTGATCAGACACAATCACCCCTCCCCTCCTCCCCCCTACACTCGTCAACTCAACAGCAAACCGCGATCACGAAATACGCAACCGCTCCAGTTCCGAGCCGGGAAATATTTCGTAAACCCGGAACTCCACATCCAGTATGACACCTCTGGGCTGTGGTGGGGGGGGGGCTACTCCTGGCCACGTCTCTCCCTCCTCTCTCTCTCTCGATCTCTCACAGGGAGCCTGGCGACTGTTGAGCGGGAGGCGAATGCCGCGGTGATGCTGCGAGAGAGATGGGAGCCCCACAGGAATCCACGCCACGGATTCCCGACACCCCCCCCACACACGTGTGTGTGTGTACGTGTGTCAGTGGGGAGCGGTGGTGTAGCGGTTAGCGCGCTGCGCTACGCACCCGCCGGACTGGGTTCAATTCCCGCTCACGGCCAACACCGGTGGCGACTATTTCAACCAGCCCTGGGCCTCCCCTAGGTCGACTAAGCCTCAAATGAGTACCTGGTGCGGTGTGTAAACATCGCCACTGGGGAGACAAAGGCGGTCGGGCGTGGTGCTGACCACCCACCCCCTCGTGTACCGTTCTGGCCTGGATAGGTGCTCACTAACAGCACTTGCCCCAACAGTCTGCTTAGGCTATACGGGGGATCTTTGTCGCTTGTCTTTGCGTGCGGTGTCTGTGCACAGCAGACAGACGCAGTGAGAGACAATCACACACAACAGCCGCACACACATACAAAGACAAAGATCCCCCGTATAGCCTTAACAGACTGTAGGGGCAAGTGCTGTTAGCGAGCACCTATGAAGGCCGGCACGGCACTCGAGGGGGTGGGTGGCCAACACCACGCCCGCCACCTTTGTCTCCCCAGTGGCGATGTTTACACATCGCACCAGGTACTCATTTGAGGCTGAGTCGACCTAAGGGGAGGGCCCATGACCGGTTCAGATAATCGTCACCGGTGTTGTCCGTGAGCGGGAATCGAACTCGAGTCGCCAGGATCGTAGCGCAGCTACACTACCGCTCCCCCCACACACACAGCCACACACACACACAGCCACAGTCACATACACAGCCACACACACACACAGCCACACACACACAGTCACACACACACAGCCACATACACACACAGCCACAACAACAACAACCGCCATTCGCCACTAAGTGGCGGTGACGTCACCACGACGCTTGTGCCAGGCCATGTGCACCTTGAGGCCACGTGAAGTGTCGCGATGAGTGCGTTGCGCTACGAACCCGGCGACACGAGTTCGATTCCAGATCACGGCAAACACCAAAGGTCGACTCAGCCTCAAATGAATACCTGGTGCGGTGTGTAAACATCGCCACGAGGGAGTGACGATTATCTGAATCAGTCCTGGGCTTCCCCTAGGTCAACTCAGCCTCAAATGAGTACCTGGTGCGGTGTGTAAACATCTCCACTAGGGAGTGACGATTATCCGAATCAGTCCTGGGCTTCCCCTATGTCGACTCAGCCTCAAATGAGTACCTGGTGCGATGTGTAAACATCGCCACTGGGGAGACAAAAAAGTTGTTGGCCACCCACCCCCTCGTGCGCTGTGCCGGCCTTCATTGGTGCTCGCTAACAGCACTTGCCCCGACAGTCTGTTAAGGGCTACACGAAGGATCTTTGTGTAGGTGTATGTGTGTACGTGTGCATTCGTTTAAACGTTCAGCCTCATGGTGCATCTAGCCTGGCACAAGCGTTGGTTGTCACCGCCACGTAGTGACGAGCGGCGGTTGTTATTATTATTATTGTTCTATATTTGTGTGTCGAGTCGTCCTCAATAAGCGCTCGCCAACTGCATCAGTCGGAATCGCTACACGGGGAGGTCTGTGCGTGTGAATGCAACAGCACGCGTGAGTGGATGTTCGATAAGGCGTCTGGACGTCTCAACTCGTATTGAACAAAAGTTTTACAAAACACCACGCTCAACACCAATACAACCGCCATTCGCCACCACGGCGGCTGTGCCAGGCTAGGTGCACTGATGCCACGTGAAGTGTCGAAGGCTCGCTGACGGGGAGGTCTCGGGCCAGACCCCGGTGCCTTGGGTTGGCTGACTGAGATGTTAGATGCACCAGCTGTAGCCCCTACTGTGCCAACTTGCTGCATTTTACACAACACGTTGTACAATGATAACCCCGCAAAGACAAAGATCTCCCCCCTTAGAGCCTTTTAATAGGCTGCTGGGGCAAGGGCTGTTAGCGAGCACCTATGAAGGCCGGAAAGGAACACGAGAGGGTGGGTGGTCAGCACCACGCCCGCACCAGGTACTCATTTGAGGCTGAGTTGACCTAGGGGAAGCCCAGGACTGATTCAGATAATCGTCACTACTTAGTGGAGATGTTTACACACCGCACCAGGTACTCATTTGAGGCTGAGTCGACCTAGGCGAGGCCCAGAACCGCTTGAGATAATCGTCACCGGTGTTGGCCTTTAGCGGGTTTCGAACTTGGGTCGCCGGGTTCGTAGCGCAGCGCGCTCACCGCTCCACCACCGCTCCCCACTCTAAACGCGCTCACCGCTCCACCACCGCTCCCCACTCTAAACGCGCTCACCGCTCCACCACCGCTCTCCACTCTAAACGCGCTCACCGCTCCACCACCGCTCCCCACTCTAAACGCGCTCACCGCTCCACCACCGCTCCCCACTCTAAACGCGCTCACCGCTCCACCACCGCTCCCCACTCTAAACGCGCTCACCGCTCCACCACCGCTCTCCACTCTAAACGCGCTCACCGCTCCACCACCGCTCCCCACTCTAAACGCGCTCACCGCTCCACCACCGCTCTCCACTCTAAACGCGCTCACCGCTCCACCACCGCTCTCCACTCTAAACGCGCTCACCGCTCCACCACCGCTCCCCACTCTAAACGCGCTCACCGCTCCACCACCGCTCCCCACTCTAAACGCGCTCACCGCTCCACCACCGCTCCCCACTCTAAACGCGCTCACCGCTCCACCACCGCTCCCCACTCTAAACGCGCTCACCGCTCCACCACCGCTCCCCACTCTAAACGCGCACGAGCGGAGACGCCCACCGCCAGCCCGCTCCGCGCACACCGCGGATCCATTCCGCGTCTCCCTGCATCCTGCGCGGGGCTCCCAGTCGGCCCACGTGACCTCGGGCCCAGCAGGTGCGGCTCGCGCGCGCGGGGCCACGTGACCGAGCCCACGCAGGTGCGGCGAGTCCAGGGCCACGTGGGCACACCGAGAAGTCCCTGTACCCCTTCCACCGCCTCCAATACGTTTACCCCACATCGCCTCCCTCACGTGGGCTTACTTCAATTCTCCTGCCCCTCCACCCCACCCTTCACCCCCCACCCCCACCGCATCTCCCATCCGTGCATTCGAGTGAGGGAGCCTCGCAGAAGGGAGGGCTGCGGATGAGTGAGGGGAGCGCTGGGTTGAGGGGAGGGAAGCATGGGGTGGGGAGCAGGGAGGGAGTGCAGGAGGGAGCAGTGGGGGGGGGGGGTGCCCGCCGGTCCCCGCTCGGGCTGCGCCTCAGGCTGTGCCCGCGGCCGCGCATGCGCCCGCGAGCTTCTCACGGAGCGGATCCACGGGGAGGCCGGGTCCGCGACGGGGAGAGAGGGAGAGAGAGAGCGGGGAGAGAGGGAGTGGGGGGGGGCTCTAACTCATTACCCCTCGGGGTGCGCGGCTCCGCGTCAATAATTAATGGGCGTCGGCAAATTAGCGTTAAAGAGATGCTTTATTAGTGGGGAGGGATGGAGGGGAGGGGGAGCGGGGGGTGGAGGGGAGGGGGGAGCGGGGGGTGGGCGGCAGGGCGCGTGGAGGTTGCGGAACCAGAGACCCTCCGCGGGACCCGCACAGCGCGGAGACCGCGAGGAGCGAGAACAAAACCAACTGAACGGCCGGGAGAGGAACCCAAACGAATCGGCAGAGGTGGAGGACCCCCCAACGGCCCGCGGCTCGAACTTCATTTACTCCGCCCCGTCTGTCCGTCACTGCGGGCGTCTTAGCCGCACTAACCGGATACTCGAGGGGGGGGGGGGGGGTACGTTCGTCCTGGCAACAGCAAAACGCGTCTCGTGTTAGCGCAACGCCCGGCCACTCGTGCCAATGCAAGAGGGCGTCTCGCTGAGCTGTGGGTGCGTTCGTGGGTGTGTGGGGCTGGGGATGGGGGGACTGTAATTTGAAAGTCCGATGTGGCCTTCAGTAGAGAGATCCCCACCCCCACGCTTCGCAATGAAGGCGCCAAGCGAGGAGGCGAAACATAAACGAGCAACACCACGCGACCCCGCGACGGGGGTCCCACGAGCCCCTTGACCCCGCTCATGCCGAGGTCACGGCCCCACCCACCCCCTGAGCTCCGCTCGGGCCCACGTCCCCCCGGGGGCTCTCGGAGCCGTCGTCGCTCTCCTCCTCCTCCTTGTCATCGTCCCCCTCGGCTCCTGTAAAACACGGGGCGCGCGGTGAGGGGGGGGGGGGCTCCGTGTGTCTCAACCCTCGGGGTCAAACAAGCGAGGGGGGACCCGGCGAGCGGAGGGGAGGGAGGGGGGGGGGCGGGTTGGTTGGATGGCCCCTCCACAACCCTCCCCGCCGGTCTCACGCCTCGCCCCCCCCCTCACCGCGTCTCCCCCTCGCCCTCTCACCGCGTCGCCCCCTCGCCCTCTCACCGCCACGCGGCTGCGTCCACCGGCCTCGCGGTGCAGCTGCGCGCCGCGCCTCGCACAGCGGCGCGAGCGCTGACCCCGCCGCCGCCTCCCTCCCTTCCCCACCCGCCCTCCTCTCTCAGCGGCCCCTCTCGTTCGGTGCGACCCAGAAGGGGCAACGCGCCACCGGGGCCCCGAGCCACGTGCGATGGCGCCGGGGCCGTCGAGCGCGCGGCCGGTGCACGACGTGTCCCCCGCCGCGGCCTCGGGCAGCGCGACGGGTACCACGCCACCGTGCGAGCCCCGCGGGTGACGTGTCAGGGATCGGCCGCCCGCTCACCCAACTCGGCCTCCAGGGAGTATCCGCGGCGCGAGTCCTTCCAGGCGAGGAGGCGCTCGAGGGCACCGCGAGCGGGGCCCGAGGCGGGGCCCGAGGCGGGGCCGGCCCGCGCCAGGCCGGGGAGCGCCAGGTCGGCGGCGAGGGCCGGGAAGAGCAGCGCGGCGCGGGCCACGCCGCAGCGCGCGCGCACCTCCGTCAGCAGCGACTCGGAGAGGCCGCGGGGAACCGAGGACGACGAGGCCCCCTCAGCGGGCCCCGCTCGGGCACGCTCCAGCGCCGCGTCCAGCAGGCGGCACGCGGTCCGCGCGGACCCCTGCGGCAAAGGCGACGCGCGCTCAGCGTTGGGTCCCGTCACGCCGGGGTTCGTGACTAACCCCCCCCCCCCCCACCAGCCTGGGATGTGACCCCGCGCGATGCGTGACAGGAGCTAATAAAGTGCGGTAATGAATGAGAACGCGCGAGTCTCTAATTATACAGCGGAGGATGTAATCAGCGCGGATAATTCATCACGCGCGCGATGGCAGCGGCACTGCTCCTAAATACTGCCCCTTACACTACCCAAGTCCTATACCCCTAACACTCCTAACACGACCCAAGTCCTATATGTACCCCTAACACTCCTAACACGACCCAAGTCCTATACCCCTAACACTCCTAACACGACCCAAGTCCTATACTCCTAACACCCCTAACACGACCCAAGTCCTATACCCCTAACACGACCCAAGTCCTATACCCCTAACACTCCTAACACGACCTAAGTCCTATATATACCCCTAACACGACCCAAGTCCTATACTCCTAACACCCCTAACACGACCCAAGTCCTATACCCCTAACACTCCTAACACGACCCAGTCCCATACCCCTAACCCTGACCCTAACTCTACCCTGGCACGACCCATACGCATGACCCTGACTCAAACTCAATCCACGTGTCCCCCGTGCGCTCTGCTCCTCTGCGGGAGTAGGAGCGAGCCCACTGGGGTGGGGGGGGGGGGGCAGAGGGCGGCGCACCTTGGCGAGGTGGATGTCCGCGAGGCGACAGCTCGCGTCCAGCAGCTCCTCCTCCTGTCCCCCCGACTGCCGCGTCGCCTCCAGCAGCCGCTCCAGGGAACGCTGCGCCTCGGAGACGCGGCCCAGCCTGGAGCGCGCACGCACCTCGCTCATCACTCGCTAACTCACTCACTCGCTAATTCACTCACTCACTCGTATACAAACCTCGCTCCCTCATGCACACCTCACTCACTCATTCCTACGCCACTCATTCATTACGCACACACCCCTCACTCACTCATCAACAACGACAGTCGCCACCCGCCACTAACTGTCGGTGATGTCACCACGGAACTTGTGCCAGGCTAGGTGCACCTTGAGCCACGTGGAGTGTGGGACGCTTGCTGGCAGGTCATGGGACAGACCCAGGTGCCATTGGTTGACTGACTGATATGACTGCCCCCCACTCTGCTAACTCGCTGCGTGTGAGCCACGCGGCGCTCCTCTGCTCTCCGTTGTTTTTGGGAGGGGAACTTCCTCCCAATTGGCCAGCAGCGTCCTTCACGAGCCTCCTGCACAGAGGGCAATCTTGACACTGCTGGTACCGGTCATCGGCACGTCCACTCAGCTCCACATCCTCCCTGAACTACATCAGCTCCATCTCTTCTCTCGCCCATGCACCATCCTCATCCAATCACCCTACCAGATACACATCAGTCAATACCTTCTGTAGCCCATGCCACGCTCGTTTATCACCCGTTATCCGGCCAAACATAATCTTTGGTTCCTTCGGTAAAGTCACGTAGGTATAAAATAAAATGAATCACGACGTTTCGGGCGCAACACAAGCGTCCATCATCAGGAGGGAAAGCATGGTCTGCTGGACGCTTGTGTTGCGCCCGAAACGTCGTGATTTATTTTATTTTATACCGACGTGACTTTACCGAAAGAATCAAAGAGTATGGATTCCTGCAGTCACGAAAGCTTCAAATGAAGATCAAACATAATCTGTTTGGGTACGCCCCTACCCTCGCACCAAGTCACCCACCTCCGATTAGAACAGTTGGCTACGTACGGTACAAAAGAAGTTTAAAATACGTACAAAGATCCCCGTATATCCTTAACAGGCAAGTGCTGTTAGCGAACACCTATGAAGGCCGAAACAGCACGCGAGAGGGTGGGTGGCCACCACCAGGCCCGGCCGCCTTTGTCTCTTCAGTGGCGATGTATATACACCGCACCAGGGTACTGTACTCATTTGAGGCTGAGTCGACCTAGGGGACGCCCCGAACCGGTTCAGGTAACCGTCACTGGTGTTGGCCGTGAGCGGGAATCGAACTCGTGTGGGACACCCTGCCCTCACAGCAACCTACCCACACACACCAACTCACCCACACTCCCACACACACCCTGCCCTGACAGCAACTCACCCACACTCCCACACACACCCTGCCCTGACAGCAACTCACCCACGCACACACTCCCACACACACCCTGCCCTCACAGCAACTCACCCACACACACCCCGACCCTCACACCAACTCACCCACACACACACTCCCACACACACCCTGCCCTCACACCAACTCACCCACACACACACTCCCACACACACACACCTACACACAAACCCACACACACCCCGACCCTCACACCAACTCTCACGCCACCTCGTCACGCACGCCGACTTGAGAGCATCAGTGGAGCTTCCATCCCTCCCCCTCCCGCCACCCCTCCCCCCCGCGCCCGCGCTTCCTCGTCGCGATCAATGTCGTGTCTCGGGCGGCTCCCCGCGGGATGAACGCGGGGCCCGGGCTGCCCGACCTCGTCCCTCCACCTCCTCTCGGCAGGAGGCGGCTCTGCCCTCAGGGACGCATGCAGGGCGAAAGGCATGCCCCGTGCCCCCCTCCCCCCCCCCCCGTGTTTCTGTGTGGTCATTGCGTTACCTGTGTCCCACGTGTTCCTTGTGTCTGTATCCCACGTGTTCCCTGTGTCCCCGTGTCTCTGTCCCACGTGTTTCTATCCCGGGTCCCCGTGTCTCTGTCCCATGTGTTCCAATCCCGTGTCCCCATGTCTCTGTCTCATGTGTTCCCCGTGTCCCCTGTCCCCAAGCGTTATTCCTCAATACTGGACGGGGATTTTCACGCACACAAAGATCCCCCATATAGCATTACCAGACCGTTGGGGCAAGTGCTGTTAGCAAGCACCTATGAAGACCGGGACGGCACACGATGGCCAGGACCACGTCCCACCGCCTTTGTCTCCCCAGTGGCGATGTTTACTACACACCGCACAGGTATTGTACTCATTTGAGGCTGAGTCAGCTTAGGGGAGGCCCAGAACCGGAAGAGATAATCGTCACTGAGGGTGGCCGTGAGTGGGATTCGAATTATTGTCACCGGGTTCGGAGCGCAGCGCGCTAACCACACACACACACACTCACATATACTGCAACAATCACATACTCAGACACACACTCATACTCAAACACTCACTCACATACTCAAATACAAACACTCACACATACTGCAACACTCACATACTCAAACACACACACTCACATACTCAAACACTCACATACACTCACATACTCCAACACAACCGCCATTCGCCACTAAGTGGCGGTGACGTCACCACGACGCTTGTGCCAGGCCATGTGCACCTTGAGGCCACGTGAAGTGTCGAACGCCCACTGGCAGGTCACGGGGCAGACCCAGGTGCCACAAGTCGACTGACTGAGATGACTGGCTGATGCACCACCTGTGCCCCCTATTGTGCCAACTTGCTGTGCTTTAGCCACCCGGCGCTCCATTCGTTCTTGTGAGCGTCGCTCTTCCGCCCTCCGTTGTTGTTGGAGGGCGACTGCCTCCAACTGCCCAGCAGCGTCCTTCACGAGCCTCCTCCACAGAGGCCGATCTTGACATCGCTGATACTAGTCATCGGCAAGTCCACTCAGCTCCACATCCTTCTGTACCACATCACTCCAACTCTTCTCTAGCCGGTGCCGCGCCCGTTTCGCCCCCTCGATCCGGCCAAACAAAAGCTGTTAAGGCATGAGGTGGCTGGGCATGCGAGCTACATGGCCCAGCCAGCGCACCCTTGCCTGCCGGAGGAGCTCACCGATGGGACTTTGTCCAGATCTTTAAAGGATTTATGAGCTCTTCACACAATCCAGCCTGGTTAAACCCAGGATGGATCCTAGGCAGACCAGCCTAAATGTTTCTTACCGGCAAAGATGTTCCATTAGGGGGGTCCACGTTTCGCAAGCATAGAGAAAGGAAGGAATGACTTCGTGCGGAGCGACAGACCAGGTAGCTTCCACAGAGCGCTACGCACCCGATGAAAAGATAATGTCGCTCGACTGATTCGGAGTGAGACCTCTGCTGTTAAACTGAAGCCGGTCATGAGCACACTGCACAGGTATGGGAAACTCTCCCCTCTCTCCACAACTGCCCTATCACCAATTGGAAGTTATGGGGGTGGAGTGTCCGATGGTACAAAATACCCAGGCAGGTGCTTAGTTTTGGTGGGCTGATGGTAAGTCCCCACCTCTTAGTGGCAAGCTCCAGGTTCAGCAGCAGCGCCTCCAACTCCTCTCTGCGTGAGCAGCAATTACCAGATCATCGGCATACATAACATGGTTGAGCAATAAGGAGCCATCCCTTGACCGCACTCATGCATCGATCAGCCTCCCATTGTATCTGTACCAGATGGAAATTCCTCCGGTACAGCTATTGAAGGCTTCACGAACTACGTGGTCGAAATAGATGTTAAAGAATGTGGGAGCCAGAGGACATCCCTGTCGCACCCCAAAGTGTGCAGGGAATGGCTCCGACTCCCGGCCACGTAGTTTTACTCGGGCCCGCTCACCAACAAACACACTCACATACTCAAACACAAACACACTTAAACACAAACATTCACATACTCAAACACAAACATAGTTAAACACACTCACATACTCCAACCTTCGCACACGCACTCACATAATCAAAAAAACACACTCACATACTCCAACACACACACACACATAATGAAACAAACACACTCACATAGTCCAACGCTCACACACGCACTCACATAATCAAAAGACACACTCATGTACTCCAGCACTTACACACACTCTCACATACTCCAAAACTCACACTCACATACTCCAACACACACACACTCACACACTCCAACACTCACACACACTCACATACTCCAACAATCACACACACACATACTCCAACACACACTCATATACTCCAACACTCACACACACACATACTCCAAAAATCACACACGCACTCACATAATCAAACCAACACTCACATACTCCAACACTCACACACACTCACATTCTCCAACACTCATACACACTCACATAATCAAACAAACACACTCACATACCCCAACACTCACATACACGGTACGCGCGTTCTGTTCCGGCAGTGATCGCCCAGGTGGGACCGGCAGCGCTTATTACCTGAGCCGGGAAAACAAACACGACCCCTTCTCTTCCCCACCCCCCCAAACCCGCCACGCACCCCCATCACACCGTCTCCCTCCGTCTCTGCGCCAGCTGAGATATGAGCGCTCCGTCCCGTCCCGTGGGCACGGCGAGGATCGGCCGAGTAATAACGCGTGCGTCGCGGCGCGGGCCGAGGGGTTAAGAGCAATAACATCGTGGCCCTGTTTGCCCATGCGCCTCCACATCGATCGCATCGCCGCCGCGATCTAAAGACGGCCGAGGGCCGCGGGATTAAACAACGGGGGCAACCTCCTGACCTGACACGGCGCCTACCCCCAACCTCACCCCCCCCCCCCCCCCCCCACGAAACAACAACAACAACCACGACCACCACCGCCACAACCAGCAGCGGCCTCTACCAGTCGGCAGCAGTAGCAGCACCATGGACATCAGTAGCAGCACCATGAACATCAGCAGTAGCACCATGAACATCAGCAGTAGTACCATAGACATCAGCAGTAGCACCATGAACATCAGCAGTAGTATCATAGACATCAGCAGTAGCACCATGAACATCAGCAGTAGTATCATAGACATCAGCAGTAGCACCATGAACATCAGCAGTAGCACCATGAACATCAGCAGTAGCACCATGAACATCAGCAGTAGTACCATGAACATCAGCAGTAGTACCATGAACATCAGCAGTAGCACCATGGACATCAGCAGTAGCACCATGCACATCAGCAGTAGTACCATGAACATCAGCAGTAGCACCATGAACATCAGCAGTAGCACCATGCACATCAGCAGTAGCACCATGAAGATCAGCAGTAGCACCATGGACATCAGCAGTAGCACCATGTACATCAGCAGTAGCACCATGTACATCAGCAGTAGCACCATGAACATCAGCAGTAGCACCATGAACATCAGCAGTAGCACCATGGACATCAGCAGTAGTACCATGTGTATTATCAGCAACAGTAGCTGATTCAGCATAATCAGCAGCGTAAATATTCGAAGCATATGCAATATGAGCCGTAACAGACGAAACATATCAAGAGCGGCAGCAGAATCACCATCGTGAGCAGCATTATCACCAATCATCACCATCATCAGCATCATCAGCATGCTCCGGGTCATTACCATTCATCATCAACATTCATCATCAACATCATCAGCGAGAGCTCTGCGAGTGGTTTGTGAAGTCACCAGGTGATGTGACCCACAGCCTCGACTCTCACAGCCAGTGCCGGATTATCGCAGTTGCAAAAGTAGCTACACATGTAGTAGCTACACATGTAGTAGCTACACATGTAGTAGCTACACATGTAGTAGCTACACATGTAGTAACTACACATGTAGTAGCTACACATGTAGTAGCTACACATGTAGTAGCTACACATGTGTAGCTACTACATGTAGTAGCTACACATGTAGTAGCTACACATGTAGTAGCTACACATGTAGTAGATACACATGTAGTAGCTACACAAGTAGCTACGGGCCCCGCACTTTCAAGGGCCCTGGGCTAAATGCTTTCAAGCTATCAATTCCTATTCAGTGATACTGCACTTGCTCTATTACTATAGTACTATATCGCCTTCAACTTTTATGAATGACTGGGTGTTTAAGGTTAGCGATTTGTCGTATTATCTGGCTGTATAGCAAATAAAAAAATACAATTACTATACTGTGCAAGTAAAAATTTGCGTTTTAATATATATTTTTTAATTTAGGGCCCCTTTATAGCGTATGCTACAGGCCCCGCACTAGCTTAATCCGGCACTGCTCACACCCCCCCGACCACTACCCCCCTCGGACCCCTTTCCCAGCTCGACCCTGGTCGCCGGGGCCCCCGCTGGTACCTGAGCAGCGCCTCCGCCACGGAGCGCGTGGCGCGGGCCCTCGCGGCCGCGTCCTGCAGCGCCACGGACAACTCCTCGGCGGCGAGCAGGCGCTGCGGGGCACACAGGGCAGGGGGCGTGGGCAGCGGGGTCACGGGTCACCGGGGCAGGGAACAGAGGGGCAGCGGGTCGCAGGGCAAGAGGGGACGGGGATTGCAGGGCGGCGGCGGGGGAGAGGACGAGGGGATCCACGAGGAGGCGTCGCGCCATTAGCGGCGGGGGTCAGTGTCTCGCGCAGGCGCTTTCACGCGTGCGGCCATGCAGGTGAGCTTAGGTGATCGTCCCGAAGTAGAGGAGAGTATCTCAGCACAGGTACACTCGGGGGTCCCGGTGGAAGTGAGCACAGGTGATAACCTCTCAATAGAGGCGCGCTCGTGTCGCGGTAGTAGAGGCGCGCTCGGATAAGCAGCTCAATACAGGTGAGCGCAGGTGAGCGTCTCTAAGTCCAGGCTGGCGACTTTGTTGATAAGAGTTGTGCGCCCTGCAGCGCAGACACCGGTCCCACTCACCTTCCTCACCTTTCAGCCCCCCTCACACCCGCCCTTCATCCCCCCCCCCCGCACGCCGACACCCTGGCTCATGATTAATGTAGAGGCGCGATCGCCGTAAGCAGTAGCGCAGCGGCTTCTGTAGGAGCGAGCGTGATTAAAGATTAAAACTAAACTCACATTTTTCTTCTGCCTTCAAGTAATGGAATGCGCAGAATAAATGATTAATTCCGTTTCAGATGGGGGCATTATCAGCCGACCCGTCGGGGCCACACGGGCACTCAGGCACGCAACTTCTCACTCGCGGACGCCGCGTGGCTCCCACTGTCCCATCGGACCCAGACCCTAACCCAGTCTCTCATCCCCATGAACCCAGAGCCGGTCTCTAACTCAGATCCAGACTCTCACTCAGACACACGTTCCCACGAACCAGTCCCAAGGCATAAAACCCGCAGAGTTCGACTTAGACCCGTCCAATTCTCGTGCACCTGTCCAGGCAAATGAGTTCGAAGGCGTTTCTTGTCTCTCACCCAAGCCCCTGTTGTGTACCTCCCCGTCTCACAACCCTGTGGAACTGTCATCTCACTTTCATCTCTGATGCCTGTACTTATTGCGCCCAAGTCTCCCTTGAATTTCAGTCTGAATTTGGGCTCTCAGCTGCTTATGAATAAAGCGTTGTCTGCGTCGTAGGAGCATCCATGCAGTCGGCGCGCAGAAATCCTGGTGCCGCGCTTAGCAGCTCACGTTGCAACAAAGAGTAAACGCGGCCGAAGACACGGCGCAGACTTAATTCGACGTAACGAAACATCAATAATGCATAACGCGAACGCAACGGGTCGGGCAGATCGGGCAGCGCTGGGCACGGCTCGCCGTCTCGGCTGGCGCTTCCCCCACGCCGCCCTCACGATGATCGCGACGCTACGTCAATGCAACGTCTTCGCATCGGGAGCAAAACCGCTTGGACGCAGAGCAGGGAACAAAATATATTAACACCATAAATCACCCCGAGCGCAGTGCCCCATCCCATCAGACATCACAAGCTAAGCAGGATGGGGCCTCGTGTGAGTCTGTATCTCAAACCATCCACCACGTGGAGACGTCACTGCGCAATTGTCGCATTCGCCGCAGCTGCAGGGTTCCACGTGTTCACCATGAGGCTACTCCCGAAGCCGTCTACGGACATCTGAGACGAAAAGAGCTTTAGAGTTCACCGGACTCCTCCGGTGGAAATCAATATTCTGATTCTGATCCATCAACCCCCACGTGGGCACAGACGCGCTGCTCAGCAACTGCCGGCCACCACACGAAACGAGAATGGGGAGAGTTCGCGTGTCCTTACAATCGGCCCTGTGGCAGTGGAGGATCGAGGGAGGGAATGGGAGTACGAGAGCAATCACCACCTCCTCCCACCTTTGCGGCCTCCAAAAACTCGGGAAATACAACGAATGCGTATTTTGTTTATGAGTGTAGGGCCCTATTTTAAAAAATCCCTTTACATTTCGGGATCGCCCTCCCACCACCTCCCTGCGCCCCCCCCCCCCCCCCCCCCCCCGGGAGGTGTCTCGATCCCCCGCGGCCCCGGGTAGGCGAGGATGGTACCTGCAGTGCCGAGTCGGTGTCGCCCGTGTCCAGCAGCGCCAGGCCGAGCCAGTAGGAGGCCTCCTGCTGTGCACGGCTCTCCTGCCCTGCGCCCACCACGCAAAGTTCATGACCCCCCGGGAGGGGGGAGGTGGGGGGGGCCGGGGGTCAACGTTCAGATTCCGTCTCGAGAGTCTGAGCCACGCTTCATAGTTCCCCTTGTGAGACAGACGCAGCTTGAAACGGAAAGTTTAAAGCGACGCGCGACAAAATCCTAGCGGCTGAACTAGGACGGCGGTGCAGATTCACGAGCGGTTCCACATCTGCGTTGCGGCTCCTCTATCGGCGCTTTTTGTTTTGACTCTGCCGAGTGAACTCGGCAACTTGTTGTCCCGCGGCACTGGCCACGGCGCCAGGCGGTCTGTCGAGCGCCGCCTGGCGGCTGGCCGAGGTTCGTGTCAGCGACTTCAGCTTTTAAAAGAGATGGACTCTTCGCAGCCCCCCCCCCTTCTTCCTAGCGTTGTTCCCGTTGTGGCACAGGGTCCGCTTTTCGGCATTGTCTTCTCCATTTGGCTCGGTCCAGGGCATCTTCGGGGGATGCGTTGACCGTCTTCATGTCTTCCTTTATTCTATCCATCCATCGCTTCTTCGTACGTCCGCGTGGACGGCGGCCCTCTGGCTCAATACGCATGGCAGTCGTGAGCCAGAGGGCCGCCGTCCACGCGGACGTCCGAAGAAACGATGAAGCCCCCCCCCCCCCCCCGAATACTCAAAAGCCCAGGGGGGGGTGTGCGTGGCTGCTCGATAAAAACAACTGTCTGGGTCACCCCTCCGCGGCCTTAGGGTCCCTCACCGTGACGGGCGAGGCTCAGGGCTTCCTGCAGGGGCCCCAGCGACTCATGGGCCTCTCCTCTATCCAGGGCCCGGCGGCCGAGCTCCGTGAGGAGGCGGCTGAGCAGGGTGGAGGAGCGCGCCTCGTGCTCCCGTCCCGACGCGTCCCGCCAACCCTGGGCCCGCACCAGCGCGTGGTAATCCCGCAGAACCGGCAGGGCCCCCTCGAGGTCCCCTGCGTGACACAGGAGTCAGCTCCAAAAAGTGTTGTCGTTCTGTGATAAACACCGGGAACTAATCACAGCTATCCCAGGGCACTTATTTCATGCCCCCCCCCCCCCAAGACTTACGCCCACAAAACCACACGTACGTCACCTCACTCTACTCCCCTCCGCGCACTCCCCTAGCTCACCCCTCTCATCTCACTCTGCTCCCCTCTCGACGCACTCTCCGCCCCATAAGACAATTGTCTCCGTGGAAGTCAAGTGTCGCTCAGCGAGAGTTCATTAGTTCTCTTCTACTGCCCCCATCGTCCGGCACTCCCTTCCCTTCCCAGCCGTCTGTGTTGTCGACTCCATACTCAGGACCCTTCTCCTCTGCCTCTGACTGCCTCTTCTGTTTATAAAATAAACATGCACACCGTTTCTCTCCGGCGTCTTGGCATGGGGGTCACACTTGAAGACGCCAAAAGTACACGCATCACGTCTCGCGGGTCGTCACCCCTGAGAATCACAGTCGAACGAGATTGCGAGTGTCTCACGGCCATGCAACGGATTCCCATGTTGTAAATAACTCGGCTCTATTCGCTGTAGTGTCTCTCCAGCAGCTACTGCTGCTGCTGCCGATGGCTAAGGTCGAATGTAAGGAGTCAGCTCCAAAAGTGTTGTCTTCCTATGATAAACACCGGGAACTAATCACAACTATCCCAGGGCATTATTATTTCAATTACTAAGGGAGGGGGGGAGGCGTTGTTTACTAAGTGGTGGACAGTCCATTGCTACAATGCATATTCATGTCGTACCCCCCACCCCCCATCCTCGTTTCTGCACGGGTAAACTCGCCCTTCCTTGCCTGCTGCGTTCACCCTTGTTCGCTACAGACCAATGTTTCTGTGCCACAGTTTCCTGGGGTTCCCTCTCGGTGTCTTGGGATTCCCCAGTGGGGTTTCAGCAGGGGTAGCACGCATTTGCACTCTCGGAAGGGGCATGCAAAAAAAAGCAATTTGTTTTTTTTTTGCCAATGAATTCACACTGAAGAGGAACTTCCAAAATCACGCGCGAAGCTGCCAATTACCGTGCGGTTACTTCCAGGGATGCCAAATCGGGAACGCCAAGGAAAAATATCGGACATTGGTGAAAGCGAGCTTCATAGCTCATCGGATTCTTTTAGTCTAAACAAAGATGCTGATTTTGGAATCCGTACCGGTTCAGATGTCACTCACCACTGATGTTAGCAGTGGCCGGGAGTCGCACTCGGCTCGCTGGGTCCACGGTGCACTGCGCGAGCCACTTTGCCACGCGAATAAAGTGCACGTTTATATCATCACGCACATTAAACGCTGAATGAGAATACACGTCATAAAACCACGTGCGTGTCATCTTCTTGGTTCTTTCGGTAAAGTCACGTAGAAGGGAAGTAATAAAATAATAAAAATAAAACATAAAAATAATTCTCACGACGTTTCGGCCACAACGCAAGCAGCCGTCCTCAGGTGAAAACCAGTTCTGTCGAGGCGACCCCCCCCCAATTCAGACGCTGTCGCCTCGACAGAACTGGTTTTCACCTGAGGACGGCTGCTTGCGTTGTGGCCGAAACGTCGTGAGAATTATTTTATTATGTTTTATTTTTATTATTTTATTACTTCCCTTCTACGTGACTTTACCGAAAGAACCAAGAAGATGAATCCCTGCAGTCACGAAAGCTTTAAATCGAAACATGTGCGTGTCATTTTAGCGTGTGGGCCCCTTTGGAGTCTTAGGCCCTGGACAAATTCCCCATACCCCCCGCCACCACCGGCCCCTTAGCAAGTTCCCCGAGTCGGTGAGGGCTCTCACCGTGGCCGTGTCGCGCCTCCCCGAGCCGTGCCAGGGCCTCGGCCTCGCGTGGCCCCCCGCCTGCCTCGCGCGACGCCTCCAGGCACAGGCGCAGGGCGCGTCCCTCCAGCCACGGCGCCACGCCACTGCCCCTGAAGCGCTCGGCCAGGGAGAGCAGCGTCTGGCACTGTGCGTCTGCGTCTCCTGGCATCGCGGGCAGCGTGCGCACGCACATCTTTAACATCGCCACCATCGACACTGCCATCATCATCATTAACCATCAATGCTACCCATCACCATAGTCGATATCAAAACCACGTCAATCACCACCACCATTTATATCACCACCTACACGACCATCACCTTCCACACTTCCATGACCGTCAACACCACTAACATGGACATCATCAACAACAGTGTCGGCAACAACAATCACCACCATCCTCACCGGCTACGCCCGCCTTCCTGCACCGCCAACCCAACCCAGCCGCGCTCCACATGGACTACCAAACGAATTGTGCCCGCATCTCCCAACCAAATCGACGCAACCGTGCCCCCCCCCCCCCACCAATTGCCCCCGCGTGCACTACCGGCCCGTGCCGCGTCCTCCGCGCGACTGAGGAGGGCCGCCAGGTCGTGCAGCTCCCGCGGATGCTGCTCCAGGGGCGGCTCCAGGGCGAGCGTGGAGCCGGGGTCCGCGGCGAGGCGCGCGGCGCGACGCTCCCGCACGGCGCGGAACAGCTCCGTGAAGGCGCCCACGTGACCATCACGGAGCAGGGAGGTGCACACGTCGCGCAGCGGGTCCACGTGCAGCCTGCGCACCCAGCACACGCAAGGATCGACACCCAACACAGGCAAGGGTCGACACGCAGCACGGGTCGACACCCAGTCACCCAGCACACGCACGGGTCGACATCCAGCACACGCACTGGACACGGCAACACATGGGTACACGAGTATACAGAGGTAGGCACCCACCTAGGGTTGCCGCCTGTCCAGGTTTGACCCGGACAGTCCGAGAATTGGCGTCTGGATTTTGTATTTAGGTGGCAGCAATAGATTTCTACCGAGATCTGGTGGGGGTATCTATTGTGCTCAACTTGATCGCAGTCGACTGCACGGTGTTGACAGGCACCAGCAACTCTGTTGTACTCATGGCGCGCCACCACGAGAGAGGGGAGTGGAGTCAAGGGCGTTGTCATTCGTGGGAAAATAGCACGTGAGAGGGAAGAGAGAATATAAAGAATGGAAATAAGAGGAAAGGCGTGGACAAGGAACGGAGAAACAGGATCACAGGGGTCAGGAGAGATGAGGTATAGGTATGTGGCTGTGTGTGCAGTATAGGCCGATGACCGGTACCAGCCGTGTCAAGATCGGCCTCTGTGGAGGAGGCGCTGCTGCTGCTGGGCAGTTGGAGGCAGTCGCCCTCCAACAACAACAGAGGGCAGAGGAGCGACGCTCACAACAACGAGCGGAGCGCCGGGTGGCTAAAGCACAGCAAGTTGGCACAGTAGGAGGCACAGGTGGTGCATCAGCCAGTCGTCTCAGTCATCTCAGTCAGTCGACCCGTGGCACCTGCTGGGTCTGCCCGGTGACCTCCTGCCAGCGGGCGTTCGACACTTAACGTGGCATCAACGTGCACCTAGCCTGGCACAAGCGCCATGGTGACGTCACCGGCACTTAGTGGCGAATGGCGGTTGTTGTAGCACGGTTGGTTAAGAAGTGTCGCAGTTAAGGCACTGCGCTACGAACCCGACGACCCGAGTTCGATTTGCGCTCACGACCAACACCGGTGACGATTACCTGAACCGGTCCTGGGCCTACCCTAGGTCGGCTCAGCCTCAAATGAGTACCTGGTGCGGTGTGTGAACATCGCCGCCGGGGGGACAAAGGCGGCCGGGCGTGGTGCTGGCCACCCACCCCCTCGTGTGCCGTGCCGGCCTTCATAGGTGCTCGCTAACAGCACTTGCCCGAACAGTCTGCGGTACAGGTGTGTGTGTGTGTGACCCTAATTTGTGCGTACGCCACTCTCTCGGTGCGGGGCAGGCGCCGCTCGCTCTCGACTTCAGTGGGGGGCGAATTCAGCACCGGACCCCCGCCCCGTCTCCGCGCCGCCCTGCGGGGTCAGAGGAGAGGGGGGAGGGCCGCCCTGGAGAACACGAGAAACCACTGGGCGAGGGGTCAAGACCCCCTTGCCTGAACCCCTCTCACCTGAACCCCCCCCCCGAAGCTGAACCCTCTCGCACTTGAACCTCCTTTCACTTGAACCCCCCTCACACGGCCCCTCCTCACCTGAACCGCTCTCACCTGAACTGCCCTCCCCTGAACCCCTCCTCGTCTGAACTCCTCTCACCTGAACTCCCCTCACCTGAACCTCTCTCACACGAACCCCTCCTTACCTGAACCCTCTCACCAAACCCCCCCTCACCTGAACCCCCTCGCAACTGAACCCTCTCTCATCCGAAGCCCTTTCACCTGAACCCCCTTTAACTTGTCCTTCCCGCGCACCTCCGATTAGCACGGTTGGCTACGTACGGTGCGAAAGACGCTCAACATACGTACACACGTACATGAACCCCCTTCCTCACATGAACCCCCGTGACCTGAACCCTCTCTCACCTGAAGCCCCTTTACATTAACCCCCTTTACCTTAAGCCCCTTCACCTGAACCCCCTTAATCTGTACCCCCTTAACCTGCAGCCCCTTCACCTGAACCCCCTCTCACCTGAAGCCCCTTCACCTGAACCCCCTTCACCTGAAGCCCCTTCACCTGAACCCCCTCTCACCTGAACCCCCTCTGACCTGAACCCCCTTCACCTGAACCCCCTTCACCTGAAGCCCCTCTCACCTCAACCCCCTTTACCTGAACCCCCTCTCACCTGAAGCCCCTCTCACCTGTGAGTGGTGCGGCCCCCGGCCTCAGCTCCCCGGGCCCCCAGACTCGCGGGACCTCTGTGGTGGGAGTTCCCCTTCGTGGGGGTCGTCCCTGATCCCTTCCCTCCCTGGGCCCCCGATCGCGCCTCGGAGCCCTTCACGATGGGCGGCAGGGTCAGCATCTGGAGAGCATCGGAAAGACGACGACGATGTCGATGTTTCTGTTGATGATGACGGTAAATAATGATGATATTGATTATGATGACGATAATGATGATTATGATGACGATAATGATGATGGTGATTATGATGACGATATGATGATGGTGATTATGATGGCAATAATGCTGATTATGATGATGGTAATGATGGCGATAATGATTATGATGGCGATAATGATGATTATGATGATGGTAATGATGGCGATAATGATTATGATGGCAATAATGCTGATTATGATGATGGTAATGATGGCGATAATGATTATGATGGCGATAATGATGATTATGATGATGGTAATGATGGCGATAATAATGGTGATTATGATGGCGATAATGATGGTGATTATGATGATAGTAATGATGATGACGGTAAATGATGATGGTGATTATGTTGATGATGGTGAAGACGATAATGATGATGGTGATTATGATGGCGATAATGATGATGATGGTGATTATGATGGCGATAATGATTATGATGATGATGGTAATGATGACGAAAATGATGATGGTGATTATGATGATAGTAATGATGATGACGGTAGATGATGATGGTGATAATGTTGATTTGAAGCTTTCGTGACTACAGGAATCCATACTCATCATAATCACCATCATCATTACCGTCATCATCACCATCAACATAATCATCATTACCATCATCATAATCACCATCATCATTACCGTCATCATCACCATCAACATGATCACCATACTCTTTGGTTCTTTCGGTAAAGTCACTGCGTAGGTAGAAACAAATAGATGACGACGTTTCGATCACCGCACAAGCAATCGTCCTCAGGTGGTTCGATTTGATCGTGTGGCGATCGAAACGTCGTCATCAATTTTTTATTTCATTTTCTACCTACGTGACTTTACCGAAACAACCAAAGAGTATGGTGATTATGATGATGGTGATGATGACTGTAATGATGATGGTGATTATGATGATGGTAATGATGATGGTAATTATGATGATGGTAATGATGATTATGTTGATGGTGATGATGACGGTAATGATGATGGTGATTATGATGATGGTAATGATGGTAATTATGATGATGATGACGGTAATGATGATGGTGATTATGATGACGGTAATGATGATGGTAATGATGATGGTAATTATGATTATGTTGATGGTGATGATGACGGTAATGATGGTGGTGATTATGATTATGGTAATGATGATGGTAATTATGATTATAATGATGGTGATGAGGGCACTGATGATGATATGCAGTAGCTGTCATTGTACTGCAACAGTTGTTGATGATGATGATGATGTTGGTGTGCAGTGTGTTGGTGATGTGGCTGATGCTGTAGAGTCGCTGCGGCTTGCTGCTGCTGATGATGATGTACACACAGGTGATGATGTAGCTGCTGATGATGATGATGTACACACAGGTGATGATGTAGCTGCTGATGATGATGATGATGTACACACAGGTGATGATGTAGCTGCTGCTGATGATGATGTACACACAGGTGATGATGTAGCTGCTGATGATGATGATGATGTACACACAGGTGATGATGTAGCTGCTGATGATGATGTACACACAGGTGATGATGTAGCTGCTGATGATGATGATGTACACACAGGTGATGATGTAGCTGCTGATGATGATGATACACACAGGTGATGATGTCGTTGCTGATGATAATGATGTACACACAGGTGATGATGTAGCTGCTGATGATGATGATGTACACACAGGTGATGATGTAGCTGCTGATGATGATGTACACACAGGTGATGATGTAGCTGCTGATCCTGATGTACACACAGGTGATGATGTAGCTGCTGATGATAATGATGTACACAAAGGTGATGATGTCGCTGCTGATGCTGATGATGATGTACACACAGGTGATGATGTAGCTGCTGATGATGATGATGTACACACAGGTGATGATGTAGCTGATGATGATGATGTGCACACAGGTGGTGATGATGTAGCTGCTGATGCTGATGTACACACAGGTGATGATGTCGCTGCTGATGATAATGATGTACACACAGGTGATGATGTAGCTGCTGATGATGATGTACACACAGGTGATGATGTAGCTGATGATGAGTGTACCTTGTCTCTTTCGGTTCGCTGTCCCTCTCGGGGTCTCTGTCCCTCTCGGGGTCTCTGTCCCCCTGTCCCCCTGTCTCTGTCCCCCTGTCCCTCTCGGGGTCCCTGTCCCTCTCGGGGTCTCTGTCCCCCTGTCTCTGTCCCCCTGTCTCTGTCCCCCTGTCCCTCTCGGGGTCCCTGTCCCTCTCGGGGTCTCTGTCCCCCTGTCTCTGTCCCCCTGTCTCTGTCCCTCTCGGGGTCTCTGTCCCCCTGTCTCTGTCCCCCTGTCTCTGTCTCCCTGTCCCTCTCGGGGTCTCTGTCCCCCTGTCTCTGTCCCCCTGTCTCTGTCCCTCTCGGGGTCTCTGTCCCCCTGTCTCTGTCCCCCTGTCTCTGTCCCCCTGTCCCTCTCGGGGTCCCTGTCCCTCTCGGGGTCTCTGTCCCCCTGTCTCTGTCCCCCTGTCTCTGTCCCTCTCGGGGTCTCTGTCCCCCTGTCTCTGTCCCCCTGTCTCTGTCTCCCTGTCCCTCTCGGGGTCTCTGTCCCCGCGTCTCCAACAGCGGCAGCAGCAGGAAAGCGGCTGCCGCGCGTCCCTCGCGTATCCAGGCAACGCCGAGTCACGTGGCGGTGACGTCTCGAGCGCGGGAAATATAAAAAAAACTTCAAAGCAGAGGGCAGGGTCAGTGAGATGGCGAGGGGTCAAAGGGCAGGGTCAGTGACATGGCGAGGGGTCAAAGGGCAGGGTCAGTGACATGGCGAGGGGTCAAAGGGCAGGGTCAGTGACATGGCGAGGGGTCAAAGGGCAGGGTCAGTGACATGGCGAGGGGTCAAAGGGCAGAGTCAGTGACATGGCGAGGGGTCAAAGGGCAGGGTCAGTGACATGGCGAGGGGTCAAAGGGTAGGGTCAGTGACATGACGAGGGGTCAAAGGGCAAGGTCAGTGACATGGCGAGGGGTCAAAGGGCATGGTCAGTGACATGACGAGGGGTCAAAGGGCAGGGTCAGTGACATGGCGAGGGGTCAAAGGGCAGGGTCAGTGACATCGCGAGAGGTCAAAGGACAGTGTCAGTGACATCGTCGCTGTGTCCCTGTCTACCCTCTGGTCAAAGTGGCAACTGGGTCATCGGTCCCCTCGGGAGGTCCTCGACAGTCCCTTATCAGACCCCTTCCCCCGCTCCCCGCCGGGTCCCTGCGCTCCACTCCACTGTCCACTCGCAACGAGTGCCCCTCCACGCTCTCAACTCCTCTGACCCGTCACAGCGAATGCTGCGAGCCGAACACCACCCCGAGCCCCTCCCGTCAGTGGCGGCTACCTGACCCCCCCCCCCCCACCGCACTGCCCGTGCCACCCCCCCATCTCGCCAGCCCCCCACTGCCCCCCCCCCACCCCCTCGGCTGGATGAAAGCGAGTCCCGCGCAGGGGCCGTGGGGGGGGGTCTCGTCGGGGCCCCCCTCGAGGTTCCGCGAGCTCTCCGTGCTGTTTCATCTGCGCGCGCTGACTGACAGCGCTTTGAACGCCGCGAGCTCATTAACATAGCGGCGGCGGTGCGGGGAGCGAGAGACGCGGCGAGAGAGACACGGGGAGAGAGACACGGGGAGAGAGACACGGAGAGAGAGACACGGCGAGAGAGAGACACGGAGAGAGAGACACGGAGAGAGAGACACGGAGAGAGAGACACGGAGAGAGAAAGAGACACTGAGAGAGAGACACGGAGAGAGAGACACGGAGAGAGAAACACGGGGAGAGAGACACGGGGAGAGAGAGACACGGAGAGAGAGACACGGAGAGAGAGACACGGAGAGAGAGACACGGAGAGAGAGACACGGGGAGAGAGACACGGAGAGAGAGACACGGGGAGAGAGACACGGGGAGAGAGACACGGAGAGAGAGACACGGAGAGAGAGACACGGGGAGAGAGACACGGGGAGAGAGACACGGAGAGAGAGAGACACGGCGATAGACACGGAAAGAGCGAGAGACACGGAGAGAGAGACGCGGAAAGAGAGTAGGACGGCAAGAGAAACCGACTCGGAGAGAGACACACACGGCGAGAGAGACACTGCAAAAAGAGACACGGCGAGGGAGATTCGTAGAGAGAGACAGGTGGGGAGAGACAGATGGCTCGGTGACACAGTCCAGGCTCGACAGATTTTACATCTCTAAGAGCTTTGTGACGTGTGCCATAACGTCTGGCATCAGGGCGGCACCCTTCACGGACCACAACCTCATCGTGCTCCGTGTCAGGCTGGAGAGGGCCCACGAGGGTGCGTCCCACTGGCATTTTAACAACTCGCTGCTGGAGGATGGCACCTTCATAGAGATGTTCGAGGATTTCTGGGAAGAGTGGCGAAAAACCAAAACGCAGTTCGACTCGCTGGCCCAATGGTGGGATATGGGCAAAGTGCACACCAGGCTGTTGTGCCAACAATACACCTGGGGGAGCACCAGACTGAAGAACGCGGACTTCACCGACATGGAAGCCCGAGTCCTCGATTTGGAGAGTCGCCTCGTCGAGGAACCCTGCTCTTCTCCGAGAATACGAGGAGAATAGGGAGCGTTTCAAAGGGCTACAGGAGGAGCAGACGAGGGGAGCGTTTGTGCGATCCCGGGTGAAGCTCGTCACAGACCTCGACACGGGATCCCCGCTTTTCTACTCCCTCGGGAGGCAGAACGGGAGACGCAAATCCACGGAGTGCCTCTTTGATGGTGACAGTGTCCTGGCGCACGAACTCCAGCAGAAGTCGACCATCATCAGAGACTTCTACGGCAGCCTTTTCTCCCCTGAAGAAACATCGGGAGCGGCCCAGGCGGAGGCATGGAGTGGTCTACCCACCCTGGGGGAAGACGGGAAAGAGCTGCTAGAGCAAAAGCTCACCAGGAATGACCTTGACGCAGCTGTAAGAGGACTGGCCCCAAATAAATCCCCAGGGTTAGACGGGCTAACAGGGGAGTTTTAGGCCGCTTTTTGGCGATCCCTACGGGAGGACTACAGAGAGGTGCTGGAGGAAGCCTCTGTCACCGGGGTGATGCCTCAGTCTTGGAGGAGGGCGGTGCTCACTCTGCTTCCCAAGAACGGAGACCTGAGGCACCTACAAAACTGGCGTCTGGTGTCCCGCCTGAACACAGACTACAAAATATTGAGAAAGGCTCTCTCCCTGCGACTGAAAGGGGTGATTGCACAAGTCGTAAACAGGGACCAGTCCTACACCATCCCCGGACGATCCATCCATGACGGCATCTTCCTGGTCACGGACCTCATCGCGGTGTCCCAGAGGTCGGGCATCCCAATCGCGTTTCTGGCCCTTGACCAGGAAAAGGCCTTTGACAGAGTGGACCACAAATGCCTGCTGGGAACCCTCAAGACCTTTGGTTTTGGGGATGGCTTTGTCCGAACGATCCGCCTACTTTACACCAAGGCGGAGTGCATTATCAAGGTCAATGGCGCCCTCACTGCCCCGGTCAAATTCGAGCGAGGAGTGAGACAGGGATGCCCATTGTCGGGCCAACTTCACGCCCTGGCATTAGAGCCTTTCCTGAGTCTCATAAGGCGGAGACGCAACGGCCTGGTGCTCAGGGAACCAAGTGTCAAGTTGGTCCTGACAGCATACGCCGACGACATCCTCCTCATCCTTCGTTCCCTGGATGATGTCGCCCTGCTGCACGAGTGTCAGGAGGTCTTTTCGAAGGCCTCCTCATCCAAAATGAACTGGCAAAAGTGAAGCGGCCTGCTGGTTGGAGCGTGGGACATGACCGAGTGTTCGGAGAAGGCAAAAACCATCAATTGGAGCACAACATCGCTGCACCACCTGGGGTGTTCCTCGGACCAGAGGAGGAACCACCGCAAAGGAAGTGGGTCGAGCTGGAGGAGGAGGTGAAGGAGCGGCTGGGCACCTGGAGTCGCCTGTGCAAGTTCCTCACCTTCAGGACAAACACGTTGGTGGTGAACCAACTTTTCTCCCTGCACCCCCCATGAGCCTCATCAACGCGCTTCAGAAGCGAGTCCTCGACTTCTTCTGGTCGGGCGGAGGACACAGGGTCACGGCTGGGGTCCTGTCCCTGCCACTGGACGAGGGCGGTCACGGGCTGGTGTGCATGCGGAGTCAGCTGGCCACCTTCCGACTGCAGGCCGCACAAAAGTCCCTGCACGCCGCCCCTGCACCGGCCTGGAGCGTCACGGCCTCCTTCCTCCTGAAACAGCTGGGGGGTCTGCAGTGCTCTAAACAAATATTCTACTTGGACCTGCAGGGCCTCCCACTGGGACAGCTGCCACCTTTCTACAGGAGCATCCTGCAGACATGGAGCTCCCTCGCCGTCAGGAGGCTGAACCAACCGCGATCGGCCGAAGATCTGGTCTTCGAACCAATCCTCAGGAACCCACAGACAAAGCTGCCATCCACCACCGCCACCCCCGGTATGGAGAAGTGCCTCGCGAATGCGCGGCTCACCAGGATGGGAGATCTGGTGGAGCCTGGAACACGAATCCTGGCCGAAGCCAAGGGAGCCTTCTCAGTGGCAGCGGGGAGAACGCCCCCCATCCGCGTTGGGGATGACGAGGCCCCTCTCGGTCCCCCTCCACCGGAGCTCTCTGTCGTGCCACTGCATCGCCAATGCCGACAAGCGAAGGCGGATCACAACCTGTGCCGGCTGGAAAACCTACCGGAGGTGGCCTTCGCACATGTAAAGAGGAAGGTGCTCTACTCCTACATGGTCCGGTTTCACCAACAGGACACCCTGAGGAACCACAAGGACCATGCCTGGAGGAAAGCCCTGCCCTGCATCTCTCCAGAGAGGCCTCGCTGGAGGCAATTCTACTCCAGCCCGACGTACAACCGCATCGGTGACCTCAGCTGGAGCATCGCTCACGGCACCGTCACCACCAACGCCTCCCTGGCGCGCTTCACCGCCACGTCCCCAGAGTGCCGGTTCTGCGGTAAAGTGGAGACGGTGGCGCACCAATACGTGGAGTGCAAGAGCCTAAACATGTTGTTCAAGGTCCTCAAAAACATCCTCCTAAGGTTCAGCCTCCACTTATCCCCGACGGTCCTCATCTTTGGATACCAAAAGGGCGACGGACCCCAACATCTTCAGGGGCTGGTCAACGTGCTCGTCGGCTACGCCAAGCTCGCCATTTACAGGGCGAGGAAGGTGGCCCTGGAGGGGAAACGTCCGGCCAGCAGCGTGGGCATC